AAGAACTAGTGGATAGATTAGGGGAATTTATCCTGATAAGTTTGTTATTCTCACACTGCCCAAAGGTAGTAGAGCAATAGGTCTCAATTGCGACCTAAGGTGTGAGAATAAGTGTTTTAAGAAACATTGAACTGGACCAAATCCAATGTATTCCTAGCTTTTGTGATGGTAGAACAATTGGGTGTTGTTTTTAATCCCTAAATTTGATATTGATATCAGATTGGGCATTAGACTTGTCTGTTTTTAATATATCAACTAGTGAGATCCTTATAAGGTCAAATACCTGATTATATTGAGATATTCAAGGGTATATGTTAACTAGTGATCAATGTGATAGGATTTGCTACTATGAGAGGTTGGACACAATGTCATATAGACAATTGGACTTGAGCTTTCCCCACATGTGGTGTTGAGCTTATTAGTAGAAAGATTAATTGCAAGTGATTTGTTGGACTACTTTAACATGATAATCACATAATGGGTTGAACCAATTGGACTTGAGCCTTTACAATAGTAAGGTCCCAAGTACATAAGTGTTTAGACACTTATTGGGTTGATTCACTAAAGTCCATAACAAATATGGGTGAATTGGCCATATGGGATGCTCACTTTTAAGTGGTCGACCCTAAAGTGTTAAGTGCATGGGTTTAAGTTGGTTATTAGTTGTGGGTCCCATGCCATATAAGATGGCATCTCCCATTAATAGAACAATTTTCTAAAATTAATTGGATACAAGTTAATTAGGAGTCTTTCTAAAGAGGCTTAGTTAAACTACCAATAAAAAGTCTAAGTTGGTTACAAGATTTGATTATGATATTTAATTAGAAAGGTTCTAGTATTTGGGATGAATTAGGAGAGTAAGAATATTGTCTCCATGATTATCCTAAATATGTTAAGAAACATGGATTAGGAGAATACTTTTGCAGCCTCCCTTGCCTTTATAAAGAGATCAAGAAGGGAGATCAAACCATGCATTCTTCTCCCATTACATAGCTAAAATTGGCCTAGCTTGTGAGAGACTCTCTTCTAGGGTTTTGAACCCCATTCGACTAGATCTATAGTGCGTCCAATATATCATTGTTCCAGAAGTATTTTGGGTGAAGAAAAGATCACTCAAAGGTTGTTCCATTTTGAACATGTTATAGTCTTTCTTGAGAAGATTAAAACTTGGGTGTGAACTACCCACTTAGATTTTTGCACTTGTGGACAAAAAAATCAGGTACTACACTCATTTAACATCCAAAGATTTGATCTTATCCAAACTATCCAAGAGAGAAATTAGTTCTCTCATGTTATGCACTTTCAATATTAAGGTTTGTGAAAAATTTTGATTTTTAACTTCTTTACTTAGTGAGATTTTTCAACAATTACTTAATATACCATGAGGACACCTTATGGGGTCATCCCACTTGACAGAAATAGGCCCTCTATCAGGGGTGGAGCCAAGTAGATAGTTGGGGGGGGGGGGGGGGCTTGGCCTCTCCCCCCAAACATTTTTTTTTAAAACTAGACCTTTGTATAGTAATAAAAAAAACAAAAGGTCCCATTAAAATGTTAAGGAGTGCTCTCTAACTCTCTAATGCCCCTCCACTTAACTCCCAAAATTATAAAAAAAGACATTGTTTATTTTTTTTCATAAAAACCCCATAATAGACCCAAAATCTCCTACCCTATTTCTTTCCAGGCCCTATCGATTCTCTATCTCATTTTCTTGTTTTGCCAAGAAAATAGGCCATAGGAAAAATTAAGTCAATTACATCGAGAATTAAGTAGTATTTATGGGATTTGGGAGTTGCCACAAAGCCTATAACCAATAGATAAACAAAAAAAAAATCTATATAACTCCCCCCCCAAAAAAAAGAAAGAAAATTCCTAGCTCCACCACTGCTAGGGCTGTTCACGGGTCGGGTTGGGTCGGTTTACTGCGGTTTTTTCAACCGACCCGACCTGGTCGGGTTACCTGACATAGAAACCGAAACCAACCCGGTGTTAAGCAAAACCGACCTGGTCGGTTTGAGTTGGGTTGGGTCGGTTTCGGTCGGTTTCAGTTCTAAGTTCATCCCTATGATAAAATCTTGCTAATTTTAAAAACAATCATAAATTGAATATCATTTCATCCATCTCCTATGATAAAATTTAAATGAAAAAGTTAATCACAAAAGTTGTTCATTAATCACTATTCACTAATCCAAAGTTTCTTGCAACCATTCAAAAAACTAGGTGGCTTAATGGGCTTTGGAACTTCATGTTTGAACTAGGAAATAAGTCGGTTCGGTTCGGGTCGGTTTCGATTTTCTTGTGTGAAAACTGAAACCGACCCGAATCATCGGTTTAGGAAGTTGCACAACCCGAAACCGATCCGTGTTGATGAAACCCGGCCGACTCAGGTTGAGTTGGTCCGGGTTGGTCGGTTTGGTCGGGTTGGGCCTTCTTATGAACAGCCCTAACCACTGCCCTCTATTACCATAACATTTTGGGTTGTTTGCACTTGATATCATATGACAACTAAATTCTTTTGAAATTTCAAATTTGTCCTTAATGGTCAAGTGTCCTTAAATTCTTGCTAAATTATCTAAACATGCTACTTGATTGTTTTTTAAGGAGTTCCTTAATATTTCAATGACCTACAAAACCCCAAGAGGAGAAAAGAAGGAGAAAATTCTACTTGGTCTCCATTATCTGCCCTCAGCCCTTCTATCCCCTTTAACTTGCAACAGATTGCATCTTCTTACAAGTGTTGTAGATGGTCTTTTGTGCAACTGACTAAATTATCTTAATCTACTTTCTCTCATTTTATCACCTATTAGAGCTATTCCTAGGTTCCTTCATGTGATTTTGTTTTTAAACTCATTGTTTTTTAACTTTTCCATTCATTCATCTTGACATACATATCTTTCACACTCGTCAAGGAACAAATTATTGAACATTGTTGGTCTAATAACCATTTCATAAAATTTCCTTTTAATTTGAGTGATATTGCCTATCACATAAGACTCTAGATGCACCATTTCATTTTGCACATATTGTTCTAATTATATAAGCAACATTCTCCTTAGTCCTCAATATATATCTCGCTTTTTATGAATTATCGAACCAAGGTACAAAAATCACATTGAATTATCTCTTGGTCTCCAATAAGTGTATCTTGATTTGCACTCCTCTATTATATGAACTCTTGGTGGTGCAATCTGTTCAGTAGCAAGCTTGTTAAGCTTGACTTCGAGCTTCGCAAGGTGAAGAATAACAACCTTTTCATCAAGATGTTTGGGCAACATTTGAACCCGATGGGTAGAGGGGGTGATCGGTTGAGCAATAATGGTTTTAGATTGTTGTGCTTCTCTAAATTCACCATACGGTTGAGTGAATAACATAAGTTATCTTTTCATATTTGGAAAAATTTAAAGGACAAATGAAGATCTTAGATCCAAGAATCTTGAAAATGTTGGACCTTGTGTCTTTTAGGTCCTACCTTCGTAGTACAAGAACAATGCGACTAGTAATGCACCTCCACTTTGTTGCTTTATTTTTGTAACCGAAATAGAGTAACAACTGAACTAGTCAGCCATGACCATTGGTTGGGGGTTGCATGTTCTTAAAGGGTTTTTGGTATTGGACTGTTGATGACCAGTAGCTGAATCCTAGATCGTTTAATGTCTTGCTAACAGAGACAACTTGCTAGGAGTCTAGGATCAGATATGACACTAGCATGTCACAAGCAATAACAACTGGCTTAGACAATTACTATACCTTGTTGGCCTTCAACAGCATATTGCCAAAAAATGAGGACCTTCAGAAATTGGAGACTGCATTAAGCACCAAACTTATTACATTAGTGGTGGAAGAGAACTCAACTTGCTTGTGTTGTGTGGTTCAACCGGCTATTCTCATTGCTGTTGCTCAGTCTTCTTGAATTCTATTTATCTCTGTAATGGTAATGGTTATGGCATTTATGTAAAAAAAAAAACCCTTTAGTAGTGGCAAGTTCCCAACAAAGTAATGAATACCATGAGTGCATGATTTGGTTCTGATGCCGCAAATAAAATTTTTATTTATTTATTTATTTTTTGCTGTAGGGGGTGGGGGGGTTGATAAAGGGTGGGTTGGAGGTAGAAGATGATGTTGTTTTATGATGGGTAAAATCGTTTATTTTTGTTAAATTCATCTAAGATAATGGGGTGAACGTATCTTTAAGTCCATTTCTAAATCTCAGGGTATATTTAAGTCAATTTATGAAAATTGAAGGTATATTAAGTCATATACCCTTATTATTATTATTATTATTATTATTATTATTATTATTATTGTTATTATTATTATTATTATTATTATTATTATTATTATTATTATTATTATTATTATTATTATTATTATTATTATTATTANTTATTATTATTATTATTATTATTATTATTATTATTATTATTATTATTATTATTATTATTATTATTATTATTATTATTATTATTATTATTACTATCATCTATATCATGGCCAAACGGATATTGGAATGCAAATTAAACAAATTGAATTAAATCCAATCCATTTAAAGTCCTACTATATGTATCCACAAGATCTTTGCAATTAAAATGAAGAAAATAAATTATCGAGGAAAATATCATCCTCTTCTCCAAATAAAACAAATACTTCTAATTTAAACTTAAATGCATCGTGAAGAATATCCTCCAAAAATTTTCATCTCTATCCCATCATTCTCCAAAATTATAAAACAAATTCTCGAGGAAAATTGTTTCACTAAATCCTGCTCTTTCTATCATTGCTTTCCTTATTTTATTTTCGTTTCCTTTCTTCCTCTTTATTGGTTTCTATTTTTTTTTCTCAGGTTATCTGTTTCTTTGAATAATGATCCAAGAATACAAGTTAATGATGGTCAGGCTTTATTTGATTGGGTTTTATATAAAAAGATTCCAAATTGAACTTTCTCATCTGTTGATTGGTCCTCTATCTGAGCAGCCTGGTTGCTAGAGGTGGAGGAGATCCAGTAACGAGTCAAATGACCCTTAACACCTTAACCCATCGATTTTATTAAATAAATAATATAAATAAACATATAAGAACATTCCAGTCGATAGATACCAGAACAAAACACTTTTTGTTGTAATGCCCATGCAAGTATGAGCATAAATATACTCGCCTTTATTCCTGTCTTATAAATGGTGATGAGCTTATGTCTGTACTGTAAAATGAGTCCTCCCCAGCACCATAGTAGTTCTCATCTCTCTCCTCATCCCACTTCAGCACCTCCCTTATGTACTTGAATGCCTCATCAATGGTAACGCGGTCCCTGGCCTTTGCTTGCCACACAAATAGCTTACGGTCAGTGAGTGACAAGTATAGATCCTTGAACTTCATTGCAATGTAATAGTATGCCTGATTGGCCAGTGATTGATTATTGTTGTGTGGCCGCACTGGGCTGAAATCACTTAACCACTCACAAACACTCAATGGCACCCTATTGACTTTGTCTTCAAATAAATCATATTTGTTCAGAATCAGAACAAAAGGTGTATCTCTAAAGCAGGGATGCTTGACCATGGTCTCAAAGAGCTCCTTGCATTGCATCATCTTATTCTGCACGAGGGGTCCACTGCCACTGTTTTCAGGTGTAATCCACACCTGGTCATAGTCGCTTAGGGCCACACAGAAGACTACTGCACGAACGTCCTCGAACATTTCCACCCACTTGCACCCTTCACTCATCCCCTTGGCATTTATCCTAATCAGCTGGTATCTGGAAAATGAAAAAGAGAACAAGGTAAATTGTATTGAAGTTAAGAACTACTAGATCCAATTTAAAATCAGATGGTGATTAGTAGATAGCACCACCTACAGGCTACAACAAGACAGTATGTTTTCTACTACTGACAAGGATGCTGCAGGGTTAGGGATAAGGGTCAGAAAGATAATAGGTTAAAGGATGGTTGGTTGGATGGGAGTAAAAACCCAAGGCTGTGTTTGGTTTGAAGGAAAAGGTAGGGAAAGGAAGGGAAAGGTAGGGGAAGCTATACAAAGCTTGTTTGGGTTTTCCTACCTTTCCCTACCTTTTCCTTCAAATCAAACACAGCCTAAATGCTCTCCGGGTCCTGGTTTTACCAGTTAACCGGGCAGTTTTCCCATCCAACCTGCCAAAAACCATCATTTAACTGGCACCCAAAAAGGCCACCAGTTCCTGGTTTTCACAGTCTGACCATCCGGTGTGGGCTGAGTCTTAAACACTGATTCCACTTTCATGTCGCGCCTTGTTTATCAACTTCAAACAGTCCAGATATTTACCACATAGCGTCCTACCCCTTAAAAATCTGCTACAAATTTGGTAAGTGTAACTTCTGGACTAAGACAACTCATATGAGGGGCCCCAAGGATGTGAAAGTACGTATGATGGTCTTATGTGGAGAATATGAAGGGTCCATGGTATCTGCATGTGTGCCACATGGATGAGGTGTTAGGGTTCAAAGTGTTTCTTAGTGGACAAATCCGTGACAAAACCAACTGCCTTTTCTTCAGTGCCATTGACAATCACTGGCGATGGAGAAAAAGTTGTTTACTTGGTGAGAGGCTGAGGAGGAGCTTCTGGATTGTCTGTGTAGGTTTCAGACATTGGGCTACGATCATCGAGGGAGAATTCAATGGAAGCCAAACCATTGCCTTGGGTGACTCCTTCAGCATACAGGATGTCTCTATCATCTGGTTCATATTCATTGCTTGACACCTCAACAGCCTGAGAGAATTAAGACCAAGTCAATTAATTATTTAGTATAACCTCTTGAATATACCTATAGACCAAGTGCAACAGCAAGAGTTAGTAATATCATACATCTCTATGATTAATGAAATGCCAAATGCATCTTATTTTATATAACTATTATTGGTTTGAAACATGATATTGTGTACCTGGAGAATTTTCACCAAATGATAAAGATGAAAATCATGGGCTGAAAATGATTTAAGAGCCAAAAAGGACATAGGGTGAAGTGGTGAGGAATGATTCAAGGACCCATAATTTAACAATGAATATGGTATTTGACAAGATGGCGGAACAGGATTCATGTAACTGATCCCTATATAAATGGGACAAGGCTTAGATGATGTTGATGAAGATGAAAAATTGAAAATCATATAAAATTGATCCAATAAAAGATGAAAATCATATATAAAAAAGGGTGTGTCCTCCAACCACTAATAGAGAATTAGAAAAGTACATGAATCAATGCCTCTCCCATTCCTACTGAAAGCCAATATTTTCATTTCCTCAAATTCTTTAAGCACCATGAAAATTTTACATATCAGATGATCCAGGCCTTCAAGTCCCCTACCGTTCTCAAGTCTGCAGAACACTGCATAAAAACATATGTTCCAAAGGAAAAGGTTATCAGAATTGTGGCACCTCATGAAGCTGAGATGAAACCCATCAATCCACTAGGGAAAATAATAGGCGCTTAGACAAGGGCATCCCCTAATCCCACTTTTATTCATTTGTGTGGTGGAAGCTTTAACAAGGATGATATGAAGGGCAGAAGAAGGGGGATTGGTGAGAGTTTCACAATCAAGGAAGGGATAAAGAGGTTTGTTTGCTTCAATTGTCAAAGTGAGGGAGGATGACTCGCATAAAGAGTGCACTATCCAATCTTTGAACATACTACATGTCTTTATTACCAAAACCTGCCAAAGTAACAACTAACAAGTAAAAGGCCATTACCCAATCTTGGTCCTGCCATCCCAGATATCTGGGGGCCTTGGGAGGGGTAGACTGGATATGGTTCTTAACTTTTGGCAAAGTAACAAGTAAACTAGAGAACTTGCAACAGGATTATTTCTAGATTGGATAGAAAGTGGATACGAAGATCCACAGTGCAAGTTGGAGTCTCTGTGTAAGCCAAAGAAAAAGGGGGGTCTTGGGTTTATAAAGTTAAATGATGAACCAGGTTCTACTTATGAAATGGTTATGGTGGTTTATCTCAGAACATTAGAGTTGGATTCTAATAACTGAGAAGTATGGGTTATGTAATGAAGGCTGGGGCTATAGCTTTGATACTCAGACTCAAGGGTGCTCAGTGTGGAAAGCCAGGAGAGGCTATACTCAGGAGCTTCAGGGATGGCACTGAGATGAAAAACAGGCTGTGGGTCCAAGCTAAAGTTTTGCCTGGACTCTTAGTGTGATGAAAGTCCTCTCAAAGGTCTATTCCTAAATCCATTTGAAATGGCAAGTGACAAGGAGGTGTATGTAAGGGATGTTATGAAGTCTTGAACAAGTCTGTTATTTGGAGTAAAGTTCGGAAGAAACTTCCAAGATTGGGAGATTGTTGAGGTTGCATTGCTGGCTGCTGCTGGGGAAAATACAAACAGTACACACTGAATAATACTGTTATTCTTGATGCAAGAGCATGGGGATGGGAGAATTCATGTATATTCTCAGTTAAGTTGTGTATGGCTTATTTTAACAGTTTGGAGGAACCCAATTTGCCCTCAAAAGTGGTATGAAAGGCAGGAGTTCCATCAAAGATTGCTTTTATGGTTTGGTCTGCACCTTAAACAAGTGTTTTGACAAAAGATAATCTCATCACGAAGGGTATGAACATCCCATCTTTGGAATGTTCTTTTTGTAACTATCAGCCAAAATTAGCTGACTTTATTTATTCATTGTCCAAGTGCAGCCATATTGGGGTCTTTTCCTTGGTGCACACTTAGTTTGAGTTGGGTCTTCCCACAATCTGGACACTCTGGATGGAACAAAACTCGGGATCTTCAAGAATGAAGTTTACTGAGAGTATAAAATTCTAAGAAAATGTATAGCCATGGCTTTGTCATGGTTATCATGGTTTGCAATTTTGATGTCAACGAACATTTCGCTATGTAGAGATGGGGAAATTTCAGGGGTTTTCCACAAATCTCACTAAGTTAATTTTGAAAAGCCTAAAAAATCAGGGAAATTTTCTATAACCACAGAGTTAGTTAATAAGCCTTCAAAGAATTGAGAAGCATAATTGCACATTTAAGGCTTAAAAACCGTAACAAAAAACTGTATAAATCAAATAAGAGTAGATTAAGAGACTCAAATAGGTATCTTTCTCTCTGTCTTCCTTTTAGTCTTTTAGTCATCTTCTCTTCATTCACCTGTTTCTACTTTCCATTTTGACTTTTGTCTTCTTTGTTACTATACATTTTGATTAAATTGAGAATTGTCTTTTGTAGTTGTGTGCCTTTTTCCTTTCTCTTTTGAATTATAGTGACTTAGTAAGTGAATTGTATCAAAATAGTAAGTCAATCATCCAATCACCAAATTTCCAATTGTTCTTTTAGGAAAAGATTTTTAAGAAATTATTGATAAAAACATTTTTAAGAAATTATGATGATTTTAACAAAATATGGGGAAGTTTCTAATCACATTCTAAAATTTTAAACCATAAATTTATAGTCTATTATTGTTTTGTATTTTTTGTTAGACGCAATGTTACATGTTGTACAGTCATTCATTGTATAGATTTTATTTTATTTTATTTTTTTTTGGGGGGGGGGGTGCTCAATATTGCAAACCATGATGGTTATTAGTGAATAATGTTTTTCATGAACTTTTCTTAGATAATACTTTATTGGGCTAAAAAAGGGGAGACTGTATTTTTGTTGTGTTTTTGATAGACTCAATGTTACATGTTGTACAGCCATTCATTGTATATATATATTTGTGGGGGGGGGGGTGCTCAGATGGTTCAAGCCCCCTATATACCATACTAACAAATAATTTACCTTTGCTAAAAAATTTTCCACTTTGGAATGGTCTATAATTAGGATGTTCTTGAGTATTAATGGGTATTAATATCTCCACTTTTGGAGGCCATTCCACTTGAATTTTAAGCATCTCCTATAATTATTTTCCTGAAAGGCTGAAAAAGAAAGAAGAAAGAAAGAAAGAAAAATAAGTTCCCATTTTGGTCCATTACCCAATGTTTTGCATTTTTGCACAAAGTGGCTGCTCTCAGACTCAAACCTGCATTTTCATGCTTGCTAGCCCGAGTTTTTACTTTACACCAAGTAATGGCTCCTAAGTGCAAAGCTTGTACAATACAACCTTTTGTAAACATAACAAAATTTTTTGCATAGCATGTAAATCTTCCTTCCAGAATCTGATATGCTCTCCATTGTTTCTTGATCGGCATCTGCTCTCCATTACCAATCTTTGAAAGAAAACACTAAGAATCCTTCATAATATCGAAATATGTAAACAAGAAACCTTCCCCAAAATGAAAAAGGACAGCTCCTCTCTTAACTTCGAACCTATGCATCCAGTATCAATAATAATACCATCTAAAATCTGTTCCCCTTCAGAAATAGTCCCTGATATGGACCAAAAATCTTTTCAATCTTCTCCTTGAGACAGTCTGCTAAAATCTCTGACTTGTGCCAATAAGCAGACTTCATAATCATCACCATCTATTCCTTGTCCCAACCATATGGGGTCAGCTATTTGAACCTGTTTCATCATTCTGTTCTGTTTGGTGCCATATCCTTTGTTAAATTATGAGCATTTAAATCATTTCTTACTACCTCAACCCATGCCCTTTTCAGTTTTCTACCAGCTCTTCCAGCCCCTTCAACTTGTAACAGATAACTTCTTCTTACAGGTGATGTAGATGGTCTCTGCATATGACCAACCATCTTAGTCTAATTCTCTCATTTTATTGCCTATTGGAGCTACTCCTAGGTTCCTTCAATTGATTTCATTTCTGATCCTATCCTTTCTAGTTTTTCTACTCATCCATTTCCACAATGGCATTTCTACCACATTTTTTGGACAGCCCAACACTCTGTTCCATACAACATTGCTGGCCTTACAATCCTTTTATAGAAATTTCCTCTTTAGACTGAGTGGCATTCTCTTATCACATAAGACTTCAAATGCACCCCTCCATTTTGCCCATCCTTCTCTAATACTATGGGTGACATCTTCAATCTCTCCCTTGTTATGAATTGTTGAACCAAAATAAGGATGTATTTGGGGAATGCCAGGGCCTGGAGTGCAATTTTAATTCTAAAGTACTGATTTTCTGCATTATTGTATGGTCACATTTATGCTGTTTGTATGTATTACCCCTGCCATCTAGCCTGGATAAAAAAGGGAGCTTCCTTTAAGGAAGATAGCATACTGCTACTGTTAAATATCCAAAAAAAAGGAAATAATGGAAGAGGTCACATTGAGTTACCTCTTGGTCTCCAATCCTAAGTTTCAGTCCTACTTATTTGAAAGCCTCTTGTTCTCAAGGTATTTGTCCATAATCTAATCTTCCATTTAATCCTTAGCTTCAGTCAATAAGCAAACTTATTGGTATAAAATTCCTTAACCATTCGTAAAAAAAAAAAAAAAATCCTTAACCCTTCAACCCTCATTTTCTGGTATCAAAGAGACAAAAGTTGAATTAGAATTGGATGTACTATTTAAAGAACCTTCATGAATTTCATCAAAACCCCTTCTATAACTATTTTCCTTTTTCCTTTTATTTGTTTATTTGCTTGCAAGATTCATACAATGCTCAAGCAAAGCCGTTTACCAAGAAACCTTTCTTCCTTTCATGGATATAATTTTTTTTCCAGATATTTACTTCTTCAATTTGATCATCCATCCAACTAGCATCCTCCCCATCCAACCTAAGCAACTCAATCTCCTCTTGCACCATTTTAAATAACTTCAGAATTTCTTTATGCATCATGACCACTCTTCTAACATGTAATTACCTGCTTCCAAATCCCTTCTTTGCTTTCCAAGGAGTCAATTTCTAACACCATAACCAATAGTTTCTTTCAGTCCTTCACTTGCCAAAACACATTCCCATTCATCTCTTTTAATTTCATCTTCAACATCACTAGTTTCCTCTTGAAGAAAAAATTCACACATCCATGCACCTCAAGGGAGATTCTTCAACTTTATTCATAAAACTTGGATGCCTAATCCACATGTTTTCAAAGCAGAGTGGTACAGATTTCTTTTGGAATTTCTTTCATAAAAATGTTTGTATGATGATTCTGATCCCATTTGAATCCACCATCCACGCTCCTACTTGTACATAAAATAGAAATGGAAAACTGCACCTCCACCCCCCCCCCCAAAAAAAAAAAAAAAAAGAAAATAAATAGAGAAAACATATGTCCCATGTAATCCCAAGGTCCACCAATTCTAGTTTTGGTTTCTAGATAGCTAAAATGTACCAATAACCACATTGTTAACTTTGCATCACTTTTTATGAAAGATGAGCAAGAATAAAGCAGAACACTTATCAATCTTTATCCTCTCCCGTGTAAATTTCCCCATCTTCCAGTTTCTGGATTCCATCACTATGGCGATCTCCTATGTGAAAAATTAACTTGATTGGAAACTGTAATCATGTGAGTGTCATCTTCATTTGTTGGATAGTTTTCTGCCTTATTCAGGTCACAAAAAGGAATTAGTTACTTAATTCTTACCCCATCCAAATAAAGAGGAAAAAGAAAGAAGGCACATGCACCCATGTTGCATTGTACATTCATATTAGTGGTAGGGAAGAAGGGTGACTCATTAATAATAAGGGCGTTCTTTAGTTAAAATCTAAGATTTCACTGAGTTGGTAAGAAAAAAACATATATAGAAAACCTGGAAGTATAAATAGACTGCTGAGTTGCCCATTAGCATAACATATTCAAGTATATCATCAGAAAATATGATGAAAGAGTTAATTATAAAGGATATTAAATAGGTACCCGGCTTAAGAAATATTCAGCAACATCTGGTAGAAAAAGAAACTCATTTTTCCTCTTATATGTTTCCTGTATGGCAGGATCTTTCCACACTTCTTCAACCAATGGTGCATATTCACGTGTTGCTGCAGGGAAGAATGCATCCAAGTCTCCCATGGCTATGATGTCTAAAAGCCAGTTAGAAAAATGCTTCAATCTTGGATTGATAGAATAGATACATTGATTAGTTTCATTAGATCCATCTCCTTCACCTGAAATAAATGTGAAATCAAATTAGTCAGGAATCTCTTCAATTTCAATCTAAATGGGCAATATAGGAACTGCATGTTGTTAACTGTAGTGATTCAATTTCAAAAACAGGATTTCTCAGGTGCAATCATCAACTCTAAGAAAACTAAAACCCAATAGTCTTAGCTATGATAAGTAACAAAATTGTAATATCTGCCCTCCTTGCAAATAGAGACAATGTGTTGCAAGGTATGGTACAATAGTGGAAACACCATTAATCTTAACTTTGATGGGTGTTTATTGGGGAAATCCTTTTGGTTATATTCTAAAAAACCAATGAAAGCAGATACATTTTCTTTCTTCAGGGACAACATTCTTGATGTACCCATGGGTTATGAGGATTTTATTATTGAGGGAGACTCCCAGATGCTGGTTGTAGTAGGCTGCTGAGGGGAAATAAGCAAGTTTCTTGGCACTACAGAGTACAGACACTCCACTTCGGAGATAAGGAAGTTAGCTACAGAACTGATTTGTAAATTTCAATTGGGTGCAAAGAATAACAAATAACATGGAAGATTCAATGGAAAAATCAAGGGTGAATAGGGATTGTATTGAGGAAATATACCATAGTGATGTTCATTTGGGGTTGGATAGATTAGTCTAGTTGAACAAAATAATTGTACATAGCATTTTTTCAATAATCAATAAAATTGCAACTGTTAACAAAAAAAAAAAAAAACTCAAATTAACCAAAACTAAAACACTCTCAATTTATGAAATTGATACTCGATAAGTTGTTGAGAGAAAACTAATTTCTTTCTCCATGGGTCATTTTCCTGTTTCCATGCTTGCATCACAAATGGTTACCATTCTTACCTAATTTGCATAAATTTATCTTATCTTTCACAGTGATGAACTGCCCTCAGACTCAAACCCTTGTTCTCATACATGCCAGCCCGATATTGTACCATTACACCTAGTAATGGCCCCTTTTTTTGATCAGTAACCGAAACTTTATTAATTTTATAACAATAATTCATTGGCCAAATCTCAACTTACATGCTAACATGGAATTCCTAATAGATATTGGAAAACCATGTTCTCGAACAAGCACAAGAAATACTACTTGAACTACAAGAAAGTATTTTAGAATAGAGGCCCCAAAAAAGAACAAACCACAAGATAAGAGGAAAGGAACCCAAATCCTTAATGAATAATACCTGCTGAAGCGTGTTGATCAAGTGATGGTAATGTTTTCATCTTAGGCAAGGCCTCCTCCTCGAAACGCTCTCGTGCCTCGAGTAAAATACTGAGATATTTGTACATGTTGCTCTGAATCATTAGCTTAATTTCCTGTCTTTCCTCTAGAGTGAAATTGCTTCCATATAAAAACTTTGCCTGTTTAGTGAGAGATAACAATCATAATGTTGACATTGGAACCAAATTAGCAAAGGTGGAATAATTTAACAAAAAGAACACGACTTCTATGATGAAGGCACAATTTCAGAGATAAATGGAGACAGGAAGCAACTTCCTATATAAGAACAGATTGAAAAGTTTCTTTTTGTGTTTGACTGGTATTAGTTGGGTGACTCTGCTTCAAATTAGTGATACCTTTAAACAATGGAGATGTGTTGGACTGGGTAAATGTGGAAATCATTTCGGAGCCAAATACTGCATACCATCTCGTGGGGGGTTTGTTTAGGAGAGTTCATACAATACTGTCATGAATTCAGAAAGGGTCAAAATGCAGACATTATTAACAAATATTGTTGAATATGGGCCTATAGCTTTATTGTTATCTTTATTTAGTTTATGGGCTGATTGTGTAATGGGACCGTTGGGCCATATTCTTATTTATCTTTTATCTTTTCTTATTGCTGCAGTCAGTTAAGGGGCATGTTAGTCATTTTATTATTGTAAATTATAAAGAATAACAGAAGTGATTGGAGCATAAATGAGAAGCCTTACGATTGCTTTCTTCCAACCTCTTTCTCTTCTCTTCTCTTCTCTTCTCTGATTTCAGATCATCTTTCTTCATTATTTTATTTTTCTACTGCCAATATACAGGATTTATTGCTGTTTTGAGTTTACAACTAATATAATCAACAGTTGCACAAGGAATATATTTAGGATAGCAAGAAGTTGGATTAAATGGGTGACCATCCACCCTGCTCCACCCTACTGGGACAAGTTTGGTATTGTGTTAAACAGAGTAGGGTTGGATCTGGTTTTAAAAGTGCTGGCCTTGTAGGGGTCAGGTTGGGAGAATATTGACAAACCAACCTGTTTGGGTGTTAATGCCATTGTTACAGGGAAAATAAGCCAAAAAGTAGGGGTAGTTTTGGTTTCTCATACCAGCCAAGATGCCAAGACAATCTCTTTTCTCTTATTTTAATTTTTTTTCTACAATTCTTACCATTTACTTTATATATTTATGTAGTTTATATAAATATATTGGCATATTGTGATTAGCATAATATATTCAACAGTAGGTCTTCAGGTCTCATGCTACTAACCAGGACTTCTGTAGTGAATGCAAAGCGGAATATGAATATTGGGAGATTAGTTCTGTAAGGAAAGATGGTATGAAGTGATTCTCATTAGTTCTGTAAGGAAAGATGGTATGAAGTGATTCTCAACATAAGTTAACTAGAATCATAATGTAACCCAATACAGGAAAAATCCAGCTAAGTTCATGCATTTCATGAATTATGTTTTCTGGATCATGGAAGAAACTCAAACAAAATTAACCAATATGCAGTGAGAACCAACACTCACAATATCGTAGATAATAAATAGTATATAAATAAATAGAAAAACAAGTGGAACAATAACAAGCACTCCTCTGTAACAAAGAAATTGCATTGATGTATATATGATACAAACAGGATTCTCTAGGAGATCTAAAATAGTGTTCTGCAATACCAGTATTACAGTATTAAGAAAATGAAGATTTCTATTAAAAACCTGCAGAAACCATTTAGTTTTGCATATAGACTTAGGCAACATTTCACAAGACTACAGTGAGAATCAACTTTTAAGAAAACATAAATCATCCATAGCACTCACAATAGTATCTTACCTGCTTGAAGATGGTGCTGGTTCCAGAGCCTGGAAGCCCTAGCAACAGAAGCTTCTGGATTCTTTTTGGCTCTAGGTACTCTGGCACAGCAGAATAATTGCTAGCTTCATCCTTTGGCACGTGGAGCTGACTGTGGGGAACAGGCAATGAGAATAAAGAACAGACAAGCCGTGTTGATACCTGTCTAGCAAAGAGAAAGCAACTTTTTTAGAAAGACTTCCAAGGATAACTACTGGCACGGGAAAGAGGCTAGAAGTTTCTAATATGTACCTTTTCCCAGATGTTTCCCCTGATATTGTTCTGACCTTCCTCCTCATAACGCCCATCATCATAGACCCAGAAATGTGTATCACGTGGACATTGTACCTTTGCCAACTGAAAATATTATGTACTCTGATAAATCTCCCTTTCAGGAAGAATTCAACTTTGGAAATATAAATGCCGAATTGATACACATAAACATCAAAGTGGTGTGTGTCAGTAACTCTAGAGATGGTTATATTTATCCTTAAAAGAGTTTCCAGAATATTGTAAATTTTAAGATATGCAGAAGGACCAGAATCTTAATGCAATAACTTTGGAAATATAAATGCCAAATTGATACATTCCCTAGTGGATATGGCTCTGGAAAACCAACAAATTTTATTTAAAAAAAATGATAACAAATAAAAAAAGGATTCCTCTGAAAAATTGATTGTAGCAATTCAAGTTAGAAGTGCACAAGACTCCTCTAAGCCTTATGCAGAAAAATTATTAGACCATCAAACAAGCTCAGAGAAGTTTGTCATAGTGTTTTAAAAGCGCAAGGCGCAGGGGTCAATTTGCACCTGAGGCGCAAGGCGAGGTGCACACCTTTTTAAGCAAGGCACAAAAAATTAAAAAAATGCTAAAAAATAAAAAAGCCAAAAATATCAAAAAATTATTAAACATAATATTAAAAAAATATAAACTTAAATTTTAAAATAAATGTTTTTAAAACCTATTATCCAACATTAAAATACATAAATATAACATGTAAAGCATATTCAAATGAGAATTTAAAAATAAAATCAAACATATAAAATCCACAATCTCTTTTTTTCTCAATTGCATTACTTCAAGTAGCTAATGTGATGTAAAACATATTACATTCCTGATTCTACGAGCCGCCTTTGTGCCACGTCCTTCGAGGCAAGCCCAAACAAGTCCACGTTAGGTCTTAAATTCTTAGTTCTCACACAAAAATAATGATTTTATAGTTTTAATTGCTTTTTAAGAAGATATTTTATTAGGATGAATGAATGAACAACATTACCAAATAGGGGGTAATCATTATTTTTTGTGTGAGAACTAAGAATTTAAGACCTAACGTGGACTTGTTTGGGCTTGTCTCGAGGGGCGTGGCACGGGGGTCCGGGGACGGAGCCCCCCAACCCAGCTGCTAGACACAAAAAAAAAGCAAAATAAGCGTCAAATTTTCAAAAGGCGCATGCCTGGGCTCAGGCGCACCTTTTAAATCACTGGTCTGTCAAAAATCCAGCTGTATGCAACAGAGAAATTTTGTTTGAGAACATTGATACACCAAGAGTATAAGAATATTGATGCACCAATATCTAGGAATTCTCCCTAGGTTGCTCACTCTCTTCCCTTTTTTTTGATCAGCAAAAAATGATTAATTTATTAATGGGAGGTAAAAGTTACAACAGCTTGAGGATCTATCCACCCGGGAATACAAATGTCCAAAAACTAATTTACAATAGAGCCCAGAATACCTGCTGCCTCATTTCCTCAAAAGATGTTAAATCTGTAGGAACTTTAAAATGTTAAAATCTGAAAATGAAACCACTATGTCCAATTTCTCCCTAGGTTGCTCACTCTCTTCCCTTCTCCATTTGCTAATGATTTTGAAACTACAGTAGTTGTTGCTTGCTGATTTCTGTTGTTAACTGAAGACAACTTTGACATTTTGAACTGATAACATAAAACAATTACACTGTTTCCCCATGTAGAAAGCTATAAATACCTTGAGACAAATCAAAATTTCCCCAGACACATACATTTATAAAGTGTTTGCCATGCTCTGCCTTAGCTCTTTGATGAAATCCCACCTCTAACTCTCATTTTCCCAAATTCTACCCACTCCTATGAACTTTAAAATATTAGATCTGAAAATGAAACCACTATGCCCGATTTCACCCCTAAAGCCAAATCTGACCCACTTCCATTCCCATACATCTCATTTCACTTTTCCTTTCATCCTAACCCTTCAAATGTCAAGGATGCAAAGGTAGTCAAAGGGGAAGGTGACTCTAACAGGGCAGTATCGCATGGTCTAAGGCTGGTAGAACCCTCAATTATAGAAGGGGACTCGAGGTGATTACTGCATGGATTAGGAACAATAAAGCAGGATCATGGAGACACAGATACATGATGAGGGAAATGGCAAGGTTATCATTGGAAATAGGAACCAAATACAAGTTGACTCAGGTCGGGCAACTGCTTAGCTGATGGTTTAGCAAAGTCCACAGGGTGGGATGCTGGTTGTGAAGGTTCTCAACGGAACCAAACAAACTGTGGAGGAAGGTGATTGAGGAGAAATATGGCTCAAGGAACAATGGGTGGGATGCTGTTATTCCCCTTGGTACTTACGGTTGTGGGGTGTGGAAAGGGATTTGTAAGGCTTATAGGCAGTTCAGTAGGTGCATCAAATTTAAAGTGGGAAATGGAAGAAAAACTAGGTTCTGATTAGACCAGTGGGCTGGTGACTGCACTCTAAAAGAGTTGTTCCCGGCCTTGAATAATATGGCTGTAGATAAGGAGGCTTTACTGGCTGGTTCTTTCTTGCTTCAGGAAGGCAGACTAGTTTGGGTTCCTCCCTTTAGGAGAAGTTTTAATGACTGGGAAATTCAGCAGGTGGCAGAGTTTCTTTATCTGTTACAAGACCAACAACTAAATGTCCAGATGCCAAGGCTCAAGAGTTTGGAAATGGTCAAAATCAGGAGAATACTCAGTCAAATCTTTCTACAATTTTGTAGTGGGGAGGTCTGAAGCCCCTTTTCCTAGTCAGGCAATTTGGGGGAGTTTGGCTTCTCCAAAAGTCAAGTTTTTTGTATGGGTGACAGTTCTGGACAGGTGTTTGTCCAAAGAAATGCTGCTGAAGAAAAGGTTTCTTTTTGCCAGATTGGAGGTGCTGTTTTTGCAATGAGCATATAGAATCATCCAGGCACCTCTTCCTTCACTGCAAGTTTAGTTCTGCAGTTTGGTCTCACTTCTTCAGATTGGAGGTTCTGAATCTAAGTTGGTGTATGCCAGCCTCAGAGCTCTGTTTGAGGAATGGCATATTCAGGGGATGTCTAAAAAAGGGAAATCATGCTGGAATTCCATCCCTTTGGCAGTGCTGTGGGCTGTGTGGTCAGAAAGGAACAATAGGATTTTTGAAAAAAATCTTCTACTGAAGTGGAGGTCATTAACTTGGCAATAGAGGTTTTAAAAAGTTGGATGTGTATACATTGTTTTTAAAGGTAGTATTTCTGATTATATTTTTTTGAGGATGGCCTTCTTTTGAGGTCCTTCTTTTGTACAGCTACTCAATGTACACAGGACCTATTATTAATACAATCATACTTTACCTTTTCTCAAAAAAAAAAAAAAAGTTTCTTATCTTCTAGTGGGCCCCACAAGGTTTTCTTCAATATTAAGTTGGAACTTTGTGACTTCTGTTTAGGGCTATTTTAAATACTTATTCGTTTTGCTTGATTTTGGTGTGTAATTGAGTTGTACCCAATGATACCAAGATCTAAGATCTTGTAAGTCCACTGTGTTTTGGAAGAATTTTAGCCATTTTATTGGTAGTGTCAATTGCTTTTACATCCTAGTCAGTATTAAGTTGGAACTTTGTGACTTCTGTTTAGGAAAAGAGAGGGAAAATCATGTGGAGGACAGTAAGAGCTGCATTGGTTTGGACTGTATGGGAAGAAAGGAACAATAGAATCTTCAATGAGAAAAGCAGGCCTAAGGAGGAACTTTTGGGAGCTTAGTGAGCGTTGCACACTGGGTAAAAACATTGGAGCTGTTCACAGGATTTTCAGTTAATGACAGTATTGGAGTCTGCTTTGAAGTGGTGCGAATAGGGAGACGCACTGAAGAGTTGAGAATGGATTGGAAGCCCCCAGCTGTAAATAAACTGAAACTGAACTTTGATGGTAGCTCTATTGGCAACCCGGGAAGAGCAGGCATTAGGGGAGTGATTAGAGACCATCAACGTTTGTTGGTGGTTTTGTATTCAGGTCCAGTTGGCTTAGGATATTCAATTAAGGCAGAAATTTTGGCACTTCTGCAAGGCTTGAGGTTAGCACAGCAGCTTGGTCTTAGAGACTTGGAAGTGGAGGGTGACTCACAACTAGTAATCATTGGACGCAACTCAAAGCAGCACCTTGGAAATATAGACATGCATTCAGGGAAATTGATGTTATTGCAAAGCAATTAAATTCACGTTTCAGTAGGGTGAGAAGAACTGCCAATGGGGTAGCAGATGTACTAGCTAAAAAAGGAGTTAACAGGACAAATCTTTTCTGGGCAAACTTGTAAAATTGTTACCGAAGGGTGTTGGAGTTTTCCAACAGCTGCACTAAGCTTTAATCTTTATTTTTAATGAAATCCTTTTGCTGTTAAAAAAAAAAAAAAACTGATCCATTTTGCTTGATTTTGGTGTGTAATTGAAGGCCTACCTTCAGCATCCTCAATTCTATTTTTGTAATTTCTCGTCCATTAATGTAAACTTGAGTGGTTCCATTACTTGCATCAGCTCGGAGCTTCCCGGAGAAATTTAAGTTTGAACTAATGATACGATCTGGTTTTTCTCCCTCCTGTCAAGTAGCAAAAAGATCTCAGCATTTCTAACATAACCAATAAAAAAATATCCAACTTACTCTAATAAGGAAAGCCCCATTTACATCCAAAGACAAAAAAGAAGAGAACTCAAGAGAATGCATTATATATGCGCTCACCTTTCCCCAGAGACCTGACTCTTTGTCATACCAATATCTACCGGGCTTCAATTTTCTTGGAGGTAACGGGCATCCAAAAAATTCTGCCATTTCTTCTGGCCTCAGGGGTACTCCATTCACAATAAGCTGCTCTGGCCTTAGCTGATTTGCGGGACATTCTTTCTCTGCTTTGCTGATCTGCTTGACTTCCAAAGGACTGAGAAGACGAGATAATACCCTTGAACGCTTGCCCAGTTTTAATCGCTTAGATTCATCTATTGGCTGACCAATGCAAGTAACACATTTGCGTCCTTCAGGCATCGAACCCATTGCCCTCAGCACGCAATTACTGCAGTATCTAGCATCACAAACCAGACAAGATTCTTTACTTTCCCACTTCCCTTTTCCACACCTGAAACAAACTCTTTTTTTCTTCTTTTTCTCCTTTGAAACTCCTACATATTGAGGAAAAATAGGCTTTTCATCCTCAACGCCTAGCCTTTCAGATTTATCAATAGTGTTAAAAGTGACCATTGGAGCTCTCCTTACTTCATTCACTACTTGCTTTGGAGGGTTACTTGGAGTTTCATGAGCTGAACTCGGTGATCCTGGTGAAGCTGAAGGAGAAGCAGATGAAGAATCAGGATTCTGCAAGACAGACACTACAGATTCCGAACTTCCTGATACCCTTGGGCTTTGAACAGGGGAACTTGTAACACCCACAATACAAGAGATGGGCAAAGGAATTGGTTCAATTACAGGGGGGACTGAAGATTTATCTAATCTTTGTGATGCAGAGAGATCTTCGCTAACTGATGCAGTGGGAATTATTGGGTTATTTACATCTATGGGTTCAATCCTAGGGACTTCATAGGAGACTGGTGGACCCTCATATTCCATGGCAATTGAGTAATCGAGATCAGCTGCATCATCAGGGATAGAAGCACCCGGTGGGAGCATTTTTCTTAGAAGCTCCTTCCAGTTCTCTTGTGGCTTTTCCTCCATTTCTCTAACAATAACCAAGCAACTGGCTCTCAAACTAAGTCTTGAATTTTGGCTGCTTAAGTATCCCTGACCTCACCGAATGCTGTGATAGAAAAAGGAACAGCTTTAGTGTCATAGGAACTAACCGGAAAACAACCAGACATGACTATATCCTCATAACAACCAAACAGAAAAGAAACCAAATCCATTTACAAGATGAAGCAAAATGCCGTAGCCAACCAGTCAACGGCGGCAAAGTTATAACAGAGAAAGTTGAATAGTTTCTTCTAGGGCTTTCTGGGTTGGTGTTTCCATTGTTAAGGCCAAGACCAGAAATAGTCATCATTCATAGCCGCATTAACACAGTCAAAGAAAAGCCATCCCTTAAAGGCCGCCAAGTTCAAATGAAAATTGTAAAAGAAATTCGAGAAAATGGTGAATCAAAGTCAAAGCAATCTAAATATTCTTTCCTTCTATTTCTTTTCTAAAAACCAGCTTCAAACGAAACCAATCCTACTGCTTTATAGTCCAAACAATAATACAAAAGGTTGAGATCAGCAGTAATTTAGGCTCAAACCAGACGGATTAAAAGTCAGAACCCTGGGATCTAATTCCAAAAAAAAAAAAAAACAAAGAAAACCTTCCACTTAAATTCCAAGTTAACTAAACAAATCCATTTCTGAAAGTTGACACCGCCATTTCTTACAATCCGAATGTTGAAAAAGCGCGAGTCAAACAAAATCTGTATCCACTTTAGAGCATGAGATCAAAGCCCGACTAAAAGATAGAAATCAAAGTAAAAAAAAAAAAAACTTTCCTTTTCAAGCAAATATTCCAGTGTGAAAAATGGAACCGTAGAAAAGAGGTCAATTACATGAAACAGACGAATTCAAAGTTGCTCTGAGCTAAGAATCCGAAAGCTTCCTCCTTTTAGCTTTCGATACTCTGAAAGCTGATTGGTAAAGCGTTTGCTGTTTCGCCATTAACGAAGAGAAAGAGAGTGGAGGAAAATAGGAGGTGGTGCAGCAGAGAGGGAGACGGAGAGGATTCGCTGAAAACTACTCCGCTGAGGCTGAGGCCTGGGGGGACACGGCCATCGGAGGGGCAGTTCCGGGAGCAGAGAAATTATTATTACTGTGGGGCCCACACAAAGAGATATCACCCACTCCACTAGCGTTTTTTAAAGCTCACAGTCCCTTGGGTCCGCACGGGGATTCCTGACGCGTGGGACCCACTATTTGCCACATCAGTGCACACGACCAAGATATTGTTGACCTCGGAGATTTTCGAATTTCGATGGTTGATGAGTTTACTTTGCCTTCGCCGTCACAGTGTGGCGGTAAAGTTGAATGAAGAAAGAGAAGTTTGACTTTTTTGATTTCTGCATCAGGACAGGAGGACCCAAACATTGCTGTCCTCCCTATTCTTGATCACAATCCAACGGGTGTAAATGATGTTGTTAATCAACTATTTCTGACGTGGAATCATGTGATCCCAATCTACCGTTAGATTGGAATAAGTATTTGGACCCACTAATGTATTTGTTTGAGACTTGTTTCACAGTATTATCTTCTTTCTCGAGATATAAGAAGGTAAGAATAAAAGAATCCCGTGAATCCGGCCTTCCGATTGTCCGGAGGGAGAGACAACCAGAAGTGCGGACTCCGGACAAAATTTAGACACGTGGCATGATTAGGAGACTGCAAAACTGGACCTGAGGTTCGACTTAGCTGTCATCTAGTACTGTCGTGTATCATCAACTGTTGGATTAGAATCTTTTGTTATAGTGGGAAGATCTAAACAGAGAGAAAAAAAGGAGTTGCCCAGGACGTGATGGCAGATGGGCGATGATTTTTCTGAGTATGGGGTCTAGTAAGGATCACGGGTTCTTTGTTGTTTTTCTAAGTGGGTCTGGATAGGACCCGGTCGGACCAGTTTTAGATCTGGTCAGTGGTGGGTGGTAACCGGTAACCCACCTGATCAAGGGAGACAGTTCACCAACCTTAATAAGCAAGCATTTTGAATTAATAAGAAGGAACCGTGTTCAAGTGAAACGTATTTTTTAAAAGCAAGTTTATAAAAAATGTTGACTAGAAAACTTTCTATTAGGAAGAATATGGCGGACCTTAATTGCTTTTTTTTTTAACTTTTTAATTGAGGAGAAGACTTGGTTTCTGTATAACCAAAGAAATCAATCACATCAAGAAGGCGGTTTTTGACTTGTTCATATATAATTCGATTTGATTCGATTTAATTATATATGTTTATTATACTTAAATTTTATATTATATCTATCGTAAAGTTGATATAAATATTATATTTTCAATAACATGTCATAGGTTCAAATTTCATATAACTAAGTTTTAATTCATTTTGTTCATAAAATATACTATTAAAGTCATCTTATTAATAATATATAATACTTTAAATCGTTTTTAGTCTAATTTATTCATATTACTTAATATCCGATTATAATTATGGTCCCTATACCCAATTTGATTCAATCAAAGAAACAAAAAAAAAAAAAACTCATGGCCCGCATTGTCTTATTGGATTCTTTGTGAACAGTGATTGTAAAAGCTACAAATGTCCTGAGTTTCCCTCCTGCATAAGGCAAGGGGAAGTAGAGGGTTCCCATGTGGTGTCACTCAGGACCGTAGAAGGGAAATATATGAAGTGGGTCATGATGATGCATGCTCTAAAGACTCTACGTTCAAAGCTGGGTACAATTGGCTTCAGGGTTTAATATTATATCCTCTCCCTAGGACTGTAACAGTGTAAATTCTTCAAATCAGGTACATCATTTTTTTTTTCTTTTTTTTTTTTTTTTGGGACAGAACAGGGTGCATGTGCAAATTACGTGGGTTTGACCCATGACTCCTCAGTTATTGAGTCATCGGTCAGGTACAGGACTAATACCCCTACTTAGGGGTGTCAATTGAATTGGATTGGGTCCAATCCAGTCCAGTCCAATGTAAGTTCATTATAAATGGATCTGGTCCAATCTAGTTCAATGAATATTTTAAATCATTTTGGACTAGTCTAAAGACTGTCCAATCTGTTTAAATTCCTGTTAATTTAGATTGGTTTCAATTCAAACTTGGTCCATTGACACCTATGTTTTTATCTTTTATCAATGGACTAGATATTGTCTCAATCCAATATAAATTTATTATAAATGGACCACGTCCAATCCAATATGTCATATTAATCCGTCCAATCCATCCAAATTCAATGTCTTATTGATCCATCTAATCTGTCCAAATGAATTTTGATTTAGATGGAGTACAACCCAAAACCGATCCATTAACACCCCTACCCCTACCTATATATGCCTAAGAAAGTCATGAGATAAGAGTGGTCAAAAGAAGACAGGGTTGTTGATCCAATTGCAAACTTCCTTGGCGTCCTATGTCAAACATCACTTTGGTTGAGTTGGGTGCTATTTGCTAGATTTCTCAAGAATTCCCAATGTCTTCCATTTTGGTTATGTTTGTTGCTCCTTAAATATGGATAGGAAATCCTTCTTATTGAAATATTTCAACTATGATTTCCTAGTTTTTATGGCAAGAGTTTATTCTGACAATTTTAATTTTTTTTATGTATTGACAAAAAAAATATCAGTTACTCCAGTTATGGCCCGTTTGATTTGCGGATATAGAGGTTTGGGATCGGAATTGGAACAGGCCATTTTGATTCTAACTGTTTGGTTGGGTGGAATCAAAATGCAATTCCCATTGCTGATGGAATGACATTCTCCTATTGGAAATGAAATTCCTCTCCCTTCCTTGAGAATGAAATTCTGTTTCAGCTTATTCCAATTTTTATTCTGATTCATGTTGAACCAAACAGTCTATGAGAATAGACCATTTTAATTCTGATTCCCACGAATTTTGATTCCAATTCTAAACCAAACGGACCTTAAAATTGCGTTGAGCTAAAACCAGGCTTCCATGCATTATTATAGCCTCACTTTACGTCAGTTCATCCAATTCAAGGTGGGACTACATCAATACCTCGTGGGCCGATTCACAATTTTATGCCAGCGCTATACAAAGAGGAAAAAAAGTGATAATAGCTCAAATATTTTAGTATGTAAAATTCTACATTGAAACAAGTGGAACCTCCGTTTTCTTTTCTTTCCACCGGGTGCCATTAGGCCCCATGAATCAGTGTTTAGAAAATTGGACCGGATTGGCCGGTTGGACCGATTGACTGTGAGTTGGACCCTTGGCCGGTTTGATAAACTATAATGTGTAAAAAACGAGACAAAACTAGTAGCCAGACAGTTGAATCGGAAAATCAGTGACCTGGTCCTGCTTTTAAAAAGTTAGCTGATTTTTTAACACATAAATGCAAAATTCTGAAGGCCATAACTTTATAGTCGAATGTCCAATTTGAGTGATCTTTTTTTTTTTTTGAAAAATACGGACAGACCTAATGCAGATTTCTGATTCCCACTGCAAAGCTATAAACATTCAGAAGGTCCAAAAACCACACTCTATGCACCTCGCCCATGAATTGACATCAATTCCAAGTTAGCACCTACCCCAAATGTATTTTGAGCCTACAAATTCTGACCCTGGGGCTATCGGTCATTCTCCCTTTTTTTTTTAATTTTGGGTAGATTTTTGAAACCTACGTGTTCCAAATGTGAGAATGGTGCCTTGCCCCACTATTTTTGTTAAAAATGCTTTTTTTTTGCTTCAAATCTTAATTTTTAATATAAAAGTTTAAAACTAAAATAAAAAATATGTACTATAGAAGAATATAATTATATATTTTAGATATATTATAATCTAATATATAATTTATAATATTATGTATATATTATATCATCACGGTTTAGCCTCCGGTTTAACTCTGATTGAACCTCTGACCCATGAATCCCTCCTTTATTGGGTCGATGCCCGGTCTGATTTTCTGAACATTGCCATAAATATTAGCTAGAACTTTTGATTTACTCGGTAATTTGTACTGACCGAATGAGATGCACTAATGCTGGTTCGAAGTTGTTCATTTCACATACAGATTCTGATCAAATATATATTAGATTGTTTTTTCTTATTTTATTTTTATTATATTTATCCTCAGTGTCATACACTAAATAGCACTCCATATCAGTCTTATGGAAGTGCAAACATGTTTTTGGTTTTTGAAAGAAGGTTATATGCTGAATCAAATATTTTCACTTTGTTTTGAAAAAAAACAAAAAATCTAAGAACATGCTTTTATTTTTATTTAGAGTTTCTATGTTTCTATCACTTTTCTTTCTTTATTTTCTACAAAAAAGAAAATTAAAATTACCAAACCTCTTTGGCATTCTCTTTTTCTTGGAATGCTACTCTTTATTTTTTCCCTCGTGGTTACTGACATTTTATTGATAACCATTCTGTGATAAAAAGGTAGTTCCTACATTTTTTTTGACAAATATTGTTCTCATCATCTGCATATTGGCAATGCCAGCCTTAGCACATGTTACAAAACATAGTTGCCTTTGTATCTGAAAACATAGATTTATTTTCAGATTAATGTTTAAGGGGCAATACTTGGCCTCTACCATCAGCTCTTGATTTTTATATCTAAACCCTAAAATTTAAAATCTAAACTCTAAATCATGGTTGAAAACCGGGCCAGATCAGTTGATCTAAGAATTGGTCATCACTTCAGATCCAATTTTGCACCCAATACCAAATCAGATGGTTGGCATGTCTTGGTTCGATTTGATTAAAATACTATTAGGTTTGAGTTCAAACTTGAATTCGACTTGAATTATATTTTCTGGCTTAAGTTTGGTTCGATTAAATATTTAATGAACTCATATTTGACTCAAAAACTCATAAATAAACATATTTATACATTTTATATATAACGATATTTTTTAGAATATATACTATATTCTTATATTATAAAATATATATTTTTTATTCTATGATATATACATATGTATGTATATATGTGTTAATTGAGTCAAGTTTGTAAGTTTTCAAGCCAATTTTTTTTATTAGTTGAATTTGAACTTGAATAACTAATCAAGCTTACTCCAAGTTTCGATTAGAGCTCGATTGGATTGCAGCCATTATTTGTAACAATGTTTGCCTATTTCTCAAA